ATCCTTCTGTCCTTCCATCCATCCATCCATCTGAGCCCACTCATCTCCTTACCCATATATCTATGCATGCATCCCGGCACATACACATCCCTCCATCTCCATACACACCCATCTGTCCACCCATCTCCCTAAACATTTGTCCTCCCCTGTCCACCCCTCCCATATATCTATGCATGCATCCCGGCACATACACATCCCTCCATCTCCATACACACCCATCTGTCCACCCATCTCCCTAAACATTTGTCCTCCCCTGTCCACCCCTTCCCTAAACATCTGTCCACCCATCTCCATACGCATCTGTCCACCTGTCCACCTATCCATCGCCTTACACATCTGTCCACCCATCTGTCCATCCAACTCCCTACACACCTGTCCACCCATCTGTCGATCCATCTCCCTAAACATCTGTCCACCCATCTCCATACTCATCTGTCCACCCATCTGTCCACACATCTCCCTACACATCTGTCCACCCATTTCCATACACATCTGTCCACCCATCTGTCCACCCATCTCCCTACACATCTGTCCACCCGTCCACCCATCTCCCTACACATCTGTCCACCCCTTTCCATACACATCTGTCCTCCCCTGTCCACCCCTCCCTAAACATCTGTCCACCCATCTCCATACACATCTGTCCATCCATTATCCATTCCTCCTCACATTACACCGATCAGTCTCTCCAATCCCAGCTCTAGCCTTTGGTCTCTCTGTCTGCAGTGAGTGTGTGTGCGTGTTGGGGGGGCTGCATGTAGCTTACACGCTGCAGCACGGCCAGTTCACACGTGGCCACCAGCTGGTTGGCTTTGCTGGGGTAGGGTCGCTGGGGCCCCTTCTGCTCTGGGAGCCGGGAGGCGCTTTGCTCAATGCTCGGCGCTCCCTTTCCGAGGGAGGCTGAAGGCCCAGCCCGGAGGGCTCCAGGGAGCCGTGCCGTTGCATCCAGACAGGATGGCCCTTGGAGCTGCCCAGCTGTGAGGCGGCGGCGGGGGGGAGGTGATGGAGCCTGTGCGTGGTGCCTCTCGCCTCCCAGCCTGCTGCCTGCTTGGCTGAGTGACCCTCCAAAGGGGCCCAGGGGTCGGGGCAGGTTCTCGAGCACCCACAGCCCCACTGCTGCCCGGTGCAGGAGCGGCCATGGCTCTGGGTGCAGACAGAGCCTCCCCGTCTCCCCGCTGCCCCCGCAGCACCCAGGGCTGCCCTGACACTGAGGTCCCATACGGGAAGCTGCTGGAGGGCTTGGCGTGGGCAGGGTCCCTACCCCGGCCACTCAGCAGCCCATCCAAGGGACAAAGTCCAAGGCCAGCCACGCCGATCCCCGTGTGTCCTGATCTCAGACAGGGACGCCGCTCCCCGGCTAGCCCCAGAACACGCCACTCCCCAGCAGCAGCCGCATATCCGGGTGTCTGAACCAGAGGCACCAGCAGGGGCCTGGCATGGGTCAGAGGGGGGACTGGGGTGTCGCTGGCTGTCTTGCTCTGGGGGCAGCTGGTTTCAGTGGTTTTCTACCTGGGGTTGCGGAAACCCATCTCCTTCATTTCCAAAGGGGCCGGCCCGTCCATTTGAAATGTTTGGGGCCCACAGATGCAAGAAGGTGGACCCCCCCCCAGCTCCAGAGTGCCTGGCTGTGCTCCCCGTGGGCGGAGCATTTGGGCAGCCGCTCAGGAGAGAGTCAAATGCTGCCCAGTGGATTCGCAGAGCGTCCACAGCTGGCAGGCTGCGTTGCTAAGGGTGGTGCACATCCACACGCGCCTTGGCGCACGGAACAAAATGTATTCCGCGCACGGATGGAACAAATTAGAGGGCGCCTTGGTGCCTGCCCTCTGACTCAGTTCCCGGCCACTAGAGGGTGAAATCCCACTCACTAGGAGAACTGTTCCTCTCCCCAGACATGGCAACTTTGGGGCAGAAACTGCTGTGGGGAGTCTACCTGTGCGATACCCTGCCTTCCCAGCCCCCAGCCATAGTAGCACCCCCTGGAGGAGTCAGCCCAGCTAGGCCAGCCTCCTCTGACATGTAACACCCCAGGACATCGGGGCCGTCCTGGGCCCATCGAGCTGGTGCTGGGCTGCTGAAGGGTCCGAGTTCAAATCCTCCCCCCCCCCCCCCAACCTTTGGGGCCCGGGTTCCCTT